CATACACCTCCAGAAGGTCACATAGCTGCTCAGTGGCATTACGATCATAAATAAAAATTCCATCAGTGTATGCCAGCTTGGGGAGGCTGGTCTGAATGTTGAGTGAAAGTTCTTTCCCTCCTTTCTTCCATCCCTTCTTTTCTCTTTATGTTAATTAGCAAACCCTATGATATACTTTCTAGAGGAGACAAATACATACAAGACGTGATCTCTGTGCCCAGGAAGCTTTCCAGGGACACCCAGGAGTTGGGAAGGGTGAGAAGAGGGTGACAAGAGCAAGTGCTGCTGGTTCAGGATAATGGCTGGTGTCTCGTCATCCTCTTGCTTGAGGCTGAGGAGTGTCTGAGCCATGAGAAGGCCTGGTAAGGTTGTAAGGAAGAATGGTGGCAACTTCTCCAGGTTGGTTAGGGACAGTGTTGCCACCAGGAGCTCCACGGGATGGTGCGTGGCCTGCCTTTGGGTTTTGCTGGCGACATACCTTCTCTGTGCCACAGAGAAGATCTCAGCTTCCTTGGCTGTAAATGGAGACCATGGTCAGGCTTCCTTTACAGCGCTGTCATGAGAATTAAGCGGTATACCAGGACGCTGATGGGGTTCAGAGAGGTAGAGGAACTTGCTCAAAGTTGCACAGCAGTGAGTGGACTCTAGACCCACACCATCAGCAGATACTTCCCCCTGCTCCTTCCCCTGTAGGTGGGCTCATCCTCCCAGGCATGACTCAGTGTCCTCAGTGGTCTTTAGGCTGCTGTGAACTGCTGGGAAGGTCAGAGTTTCTCCTGAACACCTGGAGCCCTCTATGCTCATGGCCCCAGTCTCCATGAAACCTCAGCAGAGCCAGCCATCTTCACTCCAATCAACTCCACCTTACTCTACTTAAGACTACCCTTTGCCCTCCCCATCCCAGCGATCACATCTCCCACGTCACTGAGAAAACTGAGGCCATCAAGCAAAAATACTTGCTCAGCTTCCAGCCTCCCATGCTACCCTCTTGTTTCTGTGTCTGAGCCCCTTGCCTTACTTCTCAGAAGGCTCCTGGATCAGGTCTTAGCAACTCCCCGCCCCTCCACTGTCACAGAGCCCACCTTTCCCTGGCTCCTCGGGGACCTACCCTTATTAATTACGTCTGGTTTCTTTGGGGACTCTTCAGCACTGTCTATAGTCCTGCCCTGTCTCTCTCATCTTAAAGATAAAAAACGCAGATAAAAATAACTGTCCCCACCCAGCCTGCCCTTAGATCCTGCTCCTTCCTTTTGCAGCCAAGTATCCAGACGGAACAAGAGCATCTCTTCCTGATCTCCACTCTCTCATCTCCCATTAAGCCTTCAGCCTGCTGAGATCACGTGTTCCCTCTCCCCTTCCCTCCAATTGCTCTTGCTGAGGTCACTGAATGACCTCCTCATTGCCCAGTGCAATGGGCTTTTCAGTGTCCGTCTTACCTGACCTCTCCGTGGCATCTGACCTTGTAGACCATTTCCACTTCTTGACACTGCCTCCTCCCTGGCCCTTCTCCCTCCTGCCTCCCTCGCTCCTTGCACACTCATTCTTGGTGTCCCTGGCTGCCTCCTCTTCTCCAGCCCTCTGCTTTAGCACTAGTGCTCTCCCGGGCTCTGTCCCTGGCCACATCTCCTCTCTGGGTGAGTCTGACTGACAGTTCTCTTGGCTTCACTCACCACCCGGCTCTGACTGTCTCCCAAACGGATCTCTCTAGCCTACTTCTCCCTGCTGAGCTTCAGACCTAAGTATCTGGAGGTTCCTCGAAATTTCCACCTGGATCAACATGGCCAACACTGAACTTATGATCTTCTCCTCCCAAACTTGCTCCTCCCATAAACCTTACTTCCTCAGTGGCCCCAATTTCTATTCAGTCCTACAAGCCAAGAGTTGAGAGCTATGCTAAGCTTGTTTCTGCCACTCAGTCCCCACATCAGATTGGCTGTCAGATTCTGCCTTTTTCACCTCTCCAAATCTGATCCACCTCTTCCTCTTCAATTCTTCTATTTACATGTCTTCTGGGAATAATCTAATTGTTTGACTTTGTTTCTACACTTGGGCTGCTGTCAAAACTCGCTCAACTATGTGGCTCCAACCCTCGTGAATGCCTGCCTCCCACTGCAGTAGGATGCTCCCAGAGCTCAGGATCCTTCATTTGTGGTCAGTCAGGCCCTCCCCATCCCCTCACCCTCTGACTCCAACAGGAGCTGGATGGCCCAGGAGGCCTCCCTGCACGCTCACCGACAGCTCTGACTTCTATTTCATGGAAAAAACTCCAAGGTTCACTCAAGATCTTACTCAGCTTTCCTTTTTGAACTTTCATTAATTAGCTTAATATTGACTATTTCATTACACACACAGTAAACAGTTCAAATATTAAATGGACAAAGAACTCTCCTTCTCCTCAGAGACGTCTGACACCCTGTTCTCCTTGGCCGGGGCAAGGGCTGTCACCAGCTTCTATCTGTTTTTCAGGAATGTTACTTGTTCATATGCACAAATGTGAGCATCTTCTAGCCTGCCTTATCCAACACCACAGCCATACACGATTATTTAAATTTAGATTGATATTAATATTAATTAACATTGAAATAAAAAATTCAGTTCCTCAGTCACACTAGCCACATGTTAAGCATCTCTAGCCACATGTGGCTGGTAGCACTGTACTGGACAGTGCAGGCCCAGAGCATTTCTATCATCACAGAACGTTCTACCGGACAGCTGATACAGTGATGTCCACCTTGATTTTTAAAAAATGATTTTACCTTAAAGACAATGCCTCACCTCCTTTCTTCCCATTGCTGCATATCAATAGCTGTTTAACCAAGTTCTCTAGCGATAGACATTGAGGTTATTTCCAGCTTTTGCTTTTACAATGCTACCACAAACTTTATGTCCATATACATTTATGTCCATACACAAGTGTGTCTACAGGATAAATTTCTACAAGTGGAATTGGAAGTCCCAAAGGTATGTGAATTTTTAAATATTTATTGGAAAATTTTCCTTGCCTAGCAATTACTTCATAGCAGTGAGGCACGCCTATTTCCTCATGTCCTCCTCAACAACACACATCGCCAAGCTTTTCAGTCTTGATCAGTCTGCTGGATGAAACATTAGACCACACTGTTGTTTTACTTTCCATATTCAAAAGTATGAAGGATTATAAGTCATTTACATATTTCTTTTCTGTGAAATGTTAGTTAACGCCCTTGCTCTTTCTCTGCATTGGCTTGTTGTTTTTCTTATTGATTTACAAGATCTCTTCATATCTATTAGCCTTTGTCATCTGGATTACAATCATTGTCATCCGGATTTGTCTCCACTCCCCTCCCTTACCAGGAAGAATTGTTTCATGTTAATATGACCAACATTATCAATATCTTAATGGCTTCTGAATTTTGTGTCTGTCTTAGAAAAGCTTCTCTACTCCAACATTTAAAAACATTCTCCTATATTTTCTTTTAGTTCTTTTATTGTCTAACTTTTTTCTTTCCAATTTGATTGATGTGGAATTAATTTTGGTGTAAGGAGTAAGGTAGAGACCCACATTATTTTTCCAGATGGCCAACTAGTCTCAAATTATTTATTGAGTGATACTTCTTTCTCCTAAATGAACTAAAATGTCAGCTTTATTATATATGAGTTGTCGAAACTTCTCTGTACCTTGGTTACCAGAGACGTAATAATAATGATGAGAAGAATAACTTAGGGTTGTTGTAAGGGCTAATGAGATCATTACAAGTGTGTAGAACAGAGCCCGGCAGAGTAGGTACTCAGTAAAGGCTAACAATCATTGATATTTCCTCCAGACGTAGATGATCTATTTCTGGACATTATATTCTACTCATTTAGTCTCTGTATCAGTCAGGATTTGAGGCTGCAAACGAGGAAAAGTACTCCGCCAATGGGAGCAGAAAAGGAATTGATTAAAGACTATTGGGTGGTTCACAGTATCCCCAGGGGCACCAGAAAATCAGCCGTGGTGGCCAGGCAGCCAGGAAGCCCGCGCTTGCCTCCCTGGAAGGCTGTTCTGGGGAAGAAACTGCTGCTGCTGCCGCCACTGAGAACAAATAAGAAGCTGCCAGGATAGCACTGGGGAGGGGTTGTCAGGAGCTCTACCATGAACCCCCCACCCAAGACTGGTGTCTCTGCCACCTCCCCCTGTTACCAGCTCCTAATCCAAGTCTCATGTGGGGATATCTGGTTGGTAGAGGCTAGGTCACATGCCTGTGTGCTGGCTGTTGGTATTTTTGGATCGCAATAATATAGATTAGAGAGAATTGGAGTCTTTACAACATGACTCTTCCAATCCAAGAACAGCGTATTTTCATGTATTAAAGTCTGATTTTATGTCCTTCAGTAGAGTTTGAAATTTTTGTCTATAGATTAGGCACATTTTGTGTTAAGCATATTTCCAGGTATTTTTATCTTTTTTTTTTTTTTTCCTGAGGAAGATTAGCCCTGAGCAAACATCTGCCAATCCTCCTCTTTTTGCTGAGGAAGACTGGCCTTGAGATAACGTCTGTGTCCATCTTCCTCTACTTTATATGTGGGATGCCTACCACAGCATGGCTTGCCACGCGGTACAATGTCCGCATCCGGGATCCAAACCGGCGAACCCCGGGCCGTTGAAGTGGAACGTGCGCACTGAACCGCTGCACCGCCAGGCCGGCCCCCAAGTATTTCATCTTTTTATTGTTACTGTAAATGGAATCTTTTCTTCATTTTATTTTCTAATTGATTATTTTATATAGGAAAGCTATTGATTTTTGTAAATCTTAATTCTTACTAAAGTCTTTTAGTGTTTTTAACAGCTTTTTAAAAAACTGGGGTTTTCTCCTTGTTTTAAAAGTGTGCAATCAGATGACCAATAAATGACAACAATTTTGCACCCTCCTTTCAATGCCTCCTAATTCTTTCTCTTATTTAGGCTAGAAGCTCAAAAATAATGTGTCCTAATAGTCATGATAGTGAGTGTATCAGACAGTGGTGCATTGTCATAATAGTGCTCATAACAAACCACTCAAAGTTCAGTGGCTGAAAACAATCCTTTATCCTTGTTTGCACGGCTGCAGGTTGACTGAGGTGGGCTGATCCAGCCTAGGCTTGGCTCCAGGCTGAAGGTTGGATCCAGATCTGACCCACGTGTCTCTCATCCTCTCTGACCCGCTAGCAAACTATGGCATCCTCTTCTACGGTGATGATGGAACAGCAAGAGTGGTGAGTAGAAACACATGATGCTTCTTAAATCAGTGCTCAAATGGGCACTCTGTCATTTCTGCCCACTTCCACCAGCCAAAACAAGTCACAGGGCCGAGCTCAACATCAGTAGGGTGGGAAAGGTACCCTGTCTTTAGGAGAAACTGCAAATCGCAAAGAAAATGACATGGATACAGGGAAGCATGAAGACTTGCACAATGATGCAAATTACAGCAGTGGCATTCTTTGCTCATTCCTGATTCTAATGGGAAGGATTCTAGTGGTCTGCCATCAGAAATGGTTCTGAGCTTTAGCTCGAGTTATGAGATGCATATCTCAATTCATATTAGGGAAGTTCCATATGTCCTATTTTATTGGGTTTTAATGAAGAATCACAGCTGAATTTTTACTGACTGCCTTCTGAGTGTATATGGAGAATAATATGGTTTCTTATTGATATTTTGATACTATGAATTATATTAATTGATTTCTTCATAGAGAACCAACCTTGTATTACTGGAATAAACTCCACGTGCTGGTAGGATATTATCCATTTAAAATACATATGTGTTCTACTTGCTAATATTTTACTTAGGATTTTGCGTTTATATTGTATTAAAGAGAGGACCACAGCGTTTTTTCCTCCTATCATTTTTGGATTTTGTTTTCACCATTACACTGGATTCTCAGATTTGTTTTAAAGCCCTGCTCTGTCCCTCTCTCCCCCCGACCCCAGGATGTGCAGGAACAGTTTAAATGGCATTGCCTTGTCTGCTTCTGGAGATGTTGATAGACTTTACCTGTGCAGCTGTCTAGGCGTGAATGGATAGTGGCTCTTTGACAACATTCTCCACTTCTTCTGGTAATTAGACTGTTTAGATTTCCTATCTTTTCTGAGGTTAGTTTTCATCATTTCTTTTCCTAGAAAAGCACCAATTTTGTCCATGTGTTCAAATTTATTTTCAAAGCATTGAACTGAGTTATCTATTATAATTCTTTCAATTTCCTCTAATGTGGTTATTTCACCATTCTCTTTTCTAATTACGTGTATAGTGTATTTGTGCTATTTTTCTTGATTAGTTTGGCTAATGGTTTATCTATTTTATTTCTTAAATTTTTGCCCCACCCCATACAGATGTACTTCTATCAAAATGCACTCTCTGCTTTTTCCCTCCCATTCACCCTTCTTCTAACAGCTGATCCCACCACCTCTGCTTTGGGTCTTGCCCTTCTTCCTTCTCCAGAAACCTGCTCCAAGCTACATCTTTATTTCCTGGTTTTTTCAAATCCTTTCTCTCTTTTGCATCTTTCCTAACAGTTTATAAACATTCTCCGTTTCTTCTGTCTTGAAGTCTCCCTGCCCCAGGTCCCCCTCTAGCAAATGACTAGTATCTTTCTTTTCAAAGGCTTCCTAGAGATGCTTTCCTGCTATGCATATCACTGAATTACTCCTCAGTGACTATACCTGGCTTTCATCTTCACAACGCCACTCAGACTGCTCCAATTGAGGCCATCTATGATCTTCCTCAGTGCCAAAGCAACGGGCACTTGTCTGTGCTTACCTTTCCTGACTCCCTGTGACATTGGCTTATGTTGATCATTCTTTCCTTCCTGAAACTCACTCTGCCCTCTGTGTCCCTGACACCTCCCCAGCGTTGCCTTTTATTTCTTTGGCTACTTCTTCCCAGAATCCTTTGCAGACATCTCTTCTTCTGTTTACCCAATTCGCGTCAATTCTATAGAAGCTTGTTGGTGATGTCATCCATACACATGGCTTAAATGACCACTTCTATGCTGAGGATGCCCCCACACTCTATCTGCAGTTCAGATCAGAATTCCATTCTTTTTTTCTAGATGTGTCCTCTTGGGTACTCCACAGGCAACTTAGTTCTGGACTTTGTCACTCTCCCCTTGAAATAACCCCCTTCACGGTCTGCCTGCTCTAGGATAGTCCCTTCCAATATTTCTCCTCCAGAGGATGTTTTAAATCACAGGCCTGTCATTTCATTCCTCTGCTTAATATCTTCAATGGCTTCCTGTGGCTTTTAGGATCAAGGTCAACTGTTCTGGCTTTTACCTGACCCTCATGCCCTGGATCTTGCCAGCCTCTTAGTCTGCCTGTGTGCACCTTTGTCTGGTCACCAAATTACTTGAGTTTCCTTGAACATGTTACCATGTTCCATGTCTTTGGGCATTTGCTGCATGCTTTCTACTCATTGGAATTGCTTTCTCTCCTTTCCTCCTTGCTTCTTGAAAAATTAGCTTAAGACTTATTCCCTTTGAGAACTTGTTCCTGACCTCCACTCCTGATCTGATTTTGCTGCCTGTTTTGGGAAAGATCCCAACTCCAGTTCTCCTGCCATTGCTGTATTCTGAAGGCCACGTCCCCTCTGCTTTCCAGAAGGAAGTCATCTCTGGACATAGAGTGGGTCCAAGCTACAGAAAAAAAAGGAGAAAAGCTGAGGGCTTTGGAGTGGTTCAGCCCTGGCAGCACGATAGCAGGCCTCTCAGAGCCGTCTCCTCGTTGGTAAGGTGGGGACAAAAGCGTAACCATCACATGTCGTTGCTGGGATTAAATGAAACAATGCATGAGAAAGGGTCTTGCACATGGAGCTTAATTTTTTAAAATTCATTCTTTTCCTTTTCCTTTCTTCAGTGTTTTCACCTCACCCAGCGGCAGAGGATTCCCTTAAGGTGCCCTGGACTGGTCCCCTCATGGGGATTGAGAAGCTGGGGAGTCACAGCCACATCGTGTTGGTAAAGATGTGGAGAAACTAGAGCTCTTATGCACTGTGGGATCCGCTGTGGGAACGTAAAATGTGAATGTCTTTGGAAAACAGTGTGGCAGTTTAAAAAAATTAAACATACATCTATCACACGATCCACCTAGTTCACGTCTAAGTATTTACTGGAAAAAAAAAAAGGAAGTGTGTATCCATGCAGAGACTTGTATACAAATGTTCAGAGCCACTTTATTTGGACAAAAATTCAAATGTCCATCAACTGGTGGATGGAAAACAAGTTGTGGCAAATCTATGCAACGAATACTACTCATCAGTAGAAAGGAATGAAAAAATTTATGCTAACAAAAACATGGGTGAATCTCCAAACAATTAAGCTAAGCAAAAGAAGCCAGACAAAAAAGTGCCTGCCGTGTGATTTGTGTGCACAGACTGTAGGAGATGTCAGCTGACCTCAGTGACAGAGAGCACATCACTGGGCTCCTGGGCACAGGGTGGGAGCAGGAGGGAGGAATTAAAAGAGGCTCAGGGAACCTTTGGGGTAATGGATATGTTTGCTATCTTGGTTGTGGTGATGGTCTCATGGGTGAAACAAACGTCAAAGCTTGTCAAATCATACACTTTGAATATGGCATACAGTTTATTGTACGCCAATTAAACCTCAAAAGGCAGTTAAAGAAGAAGAGTTCCCTATATCACAAACTTGGCTGCCTGCCTATCCAATATTTGTTCACCTTTTCTTTAGCTTAATGGAACCCCAGTTTTGTTTGAGGTGGCTGTGTAAATGGATCATAGTTGGCCTAAGCCCCTCATGATAATCCCATTACCCACTCTCTCTGCCTCTTTTGCTGCTGTGGGTGTCCATATGACCTAAGTCCAAAGGGACCTAAGCTGAAGTCAGCTGGTGATGCTTCTGGGAAAACCTTGGCTGTCTCAACAAAAAGGAGCTAATATGGCTAATTTTAGCCCTTTCCCCCTCTTCCTTTTTTCTGCTTGGAAATAGTACATGATATCTGGTGCTGAAGCAGCTATCTTGTCACCTTGAGGAAAGACCAAGAGAATTGTAAAGATGCTGGCTTTGATTTCATAGAACTTTTGAGTAGCCACCTTCCTCTGGTTTTGCTGTGCAAGAAAATGCCTTCTGTTTGTTCATGCCACTCCAGATGGGTTTTTCATTACTTGCAGATGAATGTATTCCTACTGTTATAACCGGGTTGGTAATTCACTTATCTACTGCAGATAACAAACCTCCCTGAAACTGAGAGCATAAAGCCACATCTTTTTTATTATTCTCTTAATACTTTGGCTCAGGAATTCTGCCAGGGCAGAGTAGGAATGCCTTGTCTCTTTTCCATGTCTGGGGCTCCAGCTGGAGATGCCTGTGACAAACTGAGCCCACTGTCTAGGGCCTCTGTGAGATTTGCTGGGGCTGGAATGTCCAAGATGGCTCTTTCACTTATGTTTGGTACTCTTCCCACAAGGCCTCTGTGTGTGGCTAGCTTGGGCTTCCTCACACCATGGCAGTCTCAGAGTAGTCAGACTTCTTACATGGTGGTTAGCTTCCCTCCAAGCATGTATACCAAGAAAGAGAAGTGGAAACTTCCAGTTCTCTGAAAGATTAGGCCTAGATCTGGCAGGGCTTCACTTCCACTTAATTCCATTGGTCAGAGAAGCCACAGGCCACCTAGATTCAATAGGTACAGAAATTCCTCCTTTCTTTAGGGAAACACCATGTATACGCAGGGAAGGGAGGAGCTGAGCTGCCGTCTTGGAGACAAGACAAGAAACAGATGCAGACACATAGGTTCAAGGTCCGGTTCTGGCTTTGAATCCCTCTGTGATCTGTCTGCACATTGCCCTCTTGAAACCTCAGGGCAATGTCCAGACTTCTGATCTCAACATCTAGAGCCTATCTTCTGGCCCTTGGCTTTGGGCTTGTTGAACTCCCTGCAGAGTTCTCAATACCCCAGTGCTCTCTTGTCTCCAGACCTTTGGAGACTTCTCCTTTGGAGATACTTCTCCTGATGCCTGAAATGCCTCCCAGTCCTTTCCCTCAACGCCACTTTGCAAACTCTTATTCATCCTTGAGGACTTAGCCATGATGCCCCTTCTCCCAGAAGCTTCCCCGATAAGCTTCCTCTTGGTTGGGTCTTCCATCTGTGGGTTCTTATCCCAGCCTGGCCAACCTCTCTTGACCCCTCAGCATGCCTGCTTGCTAGTCTGATTTTCCCACTAGAATGTGACAGCTTCAAAAGCTGAGGCCTGTCTTCATCTTTGTCCCCCAGTTCCCAGCACGGTGCCTGCCAGCATTTGTGGGAGAAAGATGAGAAGGCTCTAGATACACACAAACTCTGCAACAAACATATCTGTGGATTCTCACAGGGATTTTCCTGCTGGCATACTCTCTGCTCCCAGCCCTCCTGGGAACAGCTGAAATCCGGAGCTGTAATTCTTACAGCAGAGTTATACTGAAATATTCAATGGCTGTGGAACAGCATTTGTTCAGCACTTGGCTTAGGAACTGTCAGCACCCTCCTCACATGCGGCTGTGTTTCCGACGCTGCATTTGTCAGATCTAGCTCTCATGCCTGGCTGATATGCAGGGAGCCTTACTGCTGTGGCTGCGGCTGCTCTCCTGATGGACCCCTGGGGCTGCTGCATTCGCTGGCTTTCTTTTAAATCTAATACATATTTTTAAAACACCTATTTTGTGCCCATATCTCTGCTGGGTGGTGAGGGGACAACAGAAAAGCTGATAGCAAAGCAAACGCATTGAAGTGAGAGAGTGAGTGGGCAGAGTGTAAGGTTAGGGGAGAGGCAGTTGTGGCTATAGAAAGTAGTTCAAGACAGCACCTGGTCCCGGCCTTGCACTCTGGCTGATCTTCAGCTAATCCTCAATGCTTGGCCTTCGTGGTTGTTTCCCTGCATCTCTTCCGATGGGCGAATGCCCAGGCCTTTCTGATTGCTCAGTACTATAAATACTGCTCCTTCCCTTCAAGCCTCAGAAGTACAGTCTTCATCCTCAGAGAAATGGAGGAACATCAAAGGGTTCTTTGCATGGAGTGAGATGATCAGATGTGGGTTTAGAAAGAGCATGCTGTCTATGGATGCAGAATGGGTTGGAGGAGGTGTGAAGAAGGCAGGGAGACCACGAGAAGCTGTTGAGTCTTCTTGAAGACAGATGTTGGTGGTCTGCAGCATGGCGGGGCTGCAGGGATGGGGAGAAGTGGATGGATTCAAAAGGTGTCTGCAATGTAGACTTCCTGTTCCTGGTGGGGAGAGAGTGCAGAGGGTGAGGGAATCATCAAGGATGTCCGTGGAGCGGGGGCTGGGGGTGCTGACCCTCACAGAGAAAAGGAACCCTTCAGGGAAGGTGATGAGGTTCATTGTGGCCACCTCCACTGATGGTGGCCTGCCCTCTTTTTTCTGAAAACCATAGCCACCAAATATATAGCGATTTTCCTCGATACTGGGGGAGGTAAAGGGGAAAGCTTTCCCGTATCTGTGTTATGAATGTCCATGTTCTATGCTAGAGCTCCATGAAGGCCAGGGCCATTTGTGAGCATGGAACCTCAATTTCCTTGCACAGTGACTCAACATGCACCTACTGAGACACTACTGGTGCATCCTTATTCTCAGTCACCCCATTAGTGACCTTCCCTGGTGGTTTGGTGCTCTGCAATATATGGAGAGAGATAGAGAGAGAATCCCCTGAAATCACAGAGGACTAAGCATCCAGACCTGGTGGGGCAGGAAGGCTTTACAGAGGTCTTAATGTATGAGTAGGAATTTGCCAAGGAGATAAGGGATGAAGAACACTCTGGGAAGATGGAAATGCAGGAGCAAAGGCATGGCATGGGGACTGGAGAACCTGGAGAGGGTGGAAAGGGAATGGCTGGAGATGAGATGGGAAGGGAGGCTGTGGTGAGGTCAGGGACCTAGAGTGCCAGGCTCCAGAGGTTGAGCTTTACCTTTTAGTATAAACGGGTTTTCTTTTGTATGTCATTGTCATCTGATTGATAGCGGTTGCCTGGAGCATGTGTTAAGAAGGATTCTGAGGCGGAGTCAGGGAAAAGAGTAACGAGATTGCTAGGGATGCCTGCTCTGGCTGCAGGAGTGGAGCTAACAGTCTGTGTGCTAGGGATCTGCCATCTCTGCTGGGAGAGATGAAGAGCCACTGAAGGCAGGTGGCAGACGGGGGCTGAGGAGTGGGCTTCAGGAATGTGTGCTGGAAAAGATCAGCTGGAAGCTCTGGGGAGCATGCGTTGGTAGGGGGACCAGACTCAGGCCACGTGGCCAATGAGCGAGCACCGAGTTGAAAACTGTCTGAAGAACGAATGAACTACCAAGTGTCTGCCAGGCGAAGGGTAGAGCTTATTGTAGCTGCTTCTGGGGCGAGGACATGCAGGAGGAATGAAGAAAGTCAGCACGAACACTGTCAGTCTCTCTCTCCTCTTTAGCAAAACACCCAGGGTAAAAAAGCCCCACAAACACATGCACACACACACAAAGAATGACCCCACCAAGTGGCACTTTCTACCTCCCCTTCTCTGCTCCCTGTGGAGTCGGTGTGTAATCACCAGAAAGCATTTTTGACTGAATTTTAGATGAGCGTTTTGACAAAATATAATATTGGAAACAATCTTTATCAAACATTCATGTGTCGTGTAAGAGATAAAGCCCGGAATCCATAATTCATACAGCGTGTGTATTACCAAGTGTGCATGAGAGGCTGCATTTCAATGAGGCAGCCTGAACAATATTTTCTGCCAGACGCAGGCTTTCATCATTTACATTATTCACTAGGTTTTCCAGAACAGTAAATCTTAGATATATATTTGTATTGAGAAGAGCTCGTGTGCGTGTCTGTGTACACACAGAGGGATGCACACCCGTTTGGGCACAGAACTGGCGGATGCAAGTTCCAGCTGGAGGGGCACACAGTGACAGCTGGGAGGTTTGCGTGGCGAACGCATAGGGTTCCTTCTGGAGGACAGCCCGGGTCACCATGGACTCCACAGCTCGCTGCTCAGGCACTAAGTCCACCCACCCTGTCATCTCCCTCTTCAGACCCATTCAGCATCTCACTCAGAACCCTAAAACAAAGTAGGACCCAGAATAAAGGCATGGCTGTGGATGCTTAAGAGAAAGCCATGCCAAGTTTAT